AATGAAAACACACACTTTATTGTGATGAGGAATCTTAAAAGATATCATTTAAAATTCAGCTTGAGTCTTAGGTAAAACATGAAAACCAAATAAACAGCACAATAAGATTGGCTGTAAAGGGGAAGCTGGGTTCAAAAGAAGTTGTCACATCTGCTACATTCTTCCTTCTCTTTCTTATTTTGGCACTGGACATGATGTGGTATAAATATATTTGTTTAGGAAATATCACAATCCTTCTTTTAACTTAAACAACTCCTGAAAACAGACATACTCTGCAGTAGAGCTTAAAAATGCAGATATACAAGGCTGGGTGTAAGCTCTTAAGAAGAGCAAGGAAGAAATTGGTGACTGCAAATGGTGCCTAGGCTCAACATTAACCCAGTTAACTCTTGTTATTGTTGGTACAAATGATTTAACTAGAAAATATTTACAGCTTTTGAAAAAAACATTCCATATTGCAGAAAATTGCCTAATAACATCCATGTGTATGTTTAACTTGTATTGTTTAATTACACAATAAAAAGTATATCCAATAAAAGCTGCAGACTTTGAAACATGTTGGGCACCATGGTTATGAAATACTGACTTGTTAAAAAACATAAAGTGCTTACGGTGTGATCCACATTTGTTAATTAAAAAGTCAATCCTTCCTTGACAATTATTTTATTCATCTGCATATATATGTTTATCCTATTTCCTACTTTTCCTGCTTAAATAAAAGTGACATTTAATTTGGAAATAGTTTATAACCAAAAAAAAAAAAACCCCTAAGTATTACAGAGTTTATACTCCAGGATTTCAATGTAAACACAAAATCATATAGCTATCTCCAGCTTAATTTGAGACAGTTAATTTTAAATAGTTGATGTTTCTTTCATAATACTTTGATAAACCTGCGAAAACAAAATGCTAAAGTAATTGCTGTTACTACTCCCTTTAAAAATGAAAAGCAGTTAAATGTTCCTAGACAACAAGTAAGGACAAGTTACAGAGAGCTTGAATAAAAGTAGCAACATGGTCATGTTGAATGTCAATCTAAAAAAAGAGGTTATGTCTAATCTAGAGAATGCTCCCTCTCGCCTTTTTAAATTCCAAGAGTGGGCTGACACAAAACTTCATCACCAGGGATTTTTTTTTTTTTTGAGCTTCACATCAGATTTAAACCCTCATATACAAAACGTTGGCTTCCCTGACAAGGCAGATCTTCTAAACTTGATGTGAGAAAACGTTATCTAACTCCAGTGTAGGAGTCTAATGTTGGTAAAAAGAATTCCATGTACAGTTCTGGGTGGCAAGACAGCCTCTGGAAGGCTTAATATTCTTTTAATACCTTTTTGGGTGCATTCTCCTCATAAGGAAGGATGCATTAAAAATAATAACTTGTTTAGCAACTCAGCATCATACAGAGGAGCTGAATTATTTTCCTTCCAAGTAAGCCTCCACTTGTACAACAAAGATCAGCATTTGCAATGGTCCATTTCTGCATTAGTGAATATGTAGCTTTGCTGCTTGATCGAATAGTCCAGGGTTCTCCATGTAGCGCTCCTGACAACACCCCAGCAGCAGTTCTGTTTGATCTCTCCTGCTTCCTTAATTTGGGTTGTCAAGGTTCAGCAGTTGGAGGCTGTTTACTTTACTTTTCCAAAAAAAAAAAAAAACCTGATTTTTTTTTTTTTTTTTTGGTCATACAATGACTAATCCAAAATGTGGGGGGGGGGGGGGGGAGTGGAGGGGAGGGATGCAGTCAGTAGCAAGATGTTAAACCTTTTCTCCCCTTTGCAGTGAGATTCTAGCTGACTCCTTCTAAATGGTAACTAGTTGAATTCCTTTTTATATTTTTAATGCCCTTTAATTATTAGACATTTCAAATAAAAGATCCACAGAGGGGGTGGAGGGAAGAAAACATTTCAAATCTCTAAAACTGTGAGGCCAATATTCTTTTCCTGGACTGAAAGGGATGGGTATTTCCACTTTGAGAATCAAAACTCCAATGGAATTCTTAAAAAGATTTGATACATTTCTCTCTGGAACCGAAAATAGCAGGAACTCCTGCATCTCAATTATGCAGACTAACCCTGGAGGGGGGGGCACCTAAAGTCTGAGAATTTCTCTTCAGGTCTAGTTAAGACATCTCCCCCCATAAAACTGGTTCTCACTATGAAAACGGGGGTGGGGTGGGGTGAGGCTATGGTAGGTAAAATTTTGCAGAGATTCCATATTTTTCAGCAGTAGAAAAAAAAATCCTTAAATATCCTTCAGGTTTTCTTAACTCAACCATTGTGTAAGCCTGAAGCCCGAAGCCCTACAGACAACCAAAGGTAAAGTGTAGACGGTTTCAATGTATAGACTCCTTTCAAAGGGAATACAAAATGCCCTGCAGCATTCCTGTTTGAAGAGCAGTAACAAAAAAGGAAATCCGAACTCAGAAAATACCTGAGACCGGACGTAAGAGTGAGCTAGGAAAGCTCAGAAGCAACCAAATGAAATGTTTATATTAATTTCATTATTCTGCCCAAGTCTCACAGAATAAGTGGGTGGGGGTGCTGGGAAGAGAAAGAAGTTTCATTTCGGGTTTTTTAGTCGAGCAAAAGAAAATGAATTAAGACGAACGCGTAGGATGAGCCCAGACTAAATCAATACACTTTGTAATCAGTCCGGCCAGAGTATTTGGACACAATGACTTGGAAATAATTAATAGTTATAAGGGAGGAGTGGGGTGAGAAGGGGGGCAAGGGATGTCACCATATTTTATCGCAGCACTTTATACTGTACACTAAACTTTGATCTCTAGTTTTTTGGCTTTAGGGAAGAAAGAAAAATAAAGGGAGAAAGTCCAGTATTTCAAAGCACCTACCAGCTCAAGGATGGGGACATCCCTAGCTCCGGGAGCCTTAACACGGCGCTCGCGCCGCCCATGCTGGCGCTTTAGGTACAGAGAGCCCCCGGTGCAGCACGAGGCTCTAAGGTGTACCGCACCCCCCGCCCACGTCCTCGCCCCGGCGCCCACGGCCGCCAGGACTTACCTGCGGAGTCCGGCGAGGGAGTGGGAACGCCGCCTTTACGCCCGCGGAGGAGGCGCCGGCAGCACCATGGTCCCTGGCGCGGCTGTCGCTGCCCCTTGCCCGCCGCGCGCTCGCTTCCTCTTGCAAACTTTCGGGTTCTGTGGTCAAGAAACCGGGGAGACCCTCAGCAAGTCTTCCCGGTGCGAGTTGGGGGGAAATTGAGCGGGGCGGGATAACTGAGTAGGCTGGGGGGCCAGGACAAGAGAGGGCGGCGGGCTCGGAGGACCGTGAGTGCGCGTGGAGAGAGGATGTAGCTCGGGGATCCCTGCAAAGATCCCAAGTCAGGGAAATTGGCCCGAGCCAAAGTCTCAGCACCTTCCCAGGATCTTACAAAGTTGCAACAACAAAAAAGGAGGGGGGAGGATAGAGGGAAGGGGGTGGGTTAGGGATATGATGGCAAGCACAAGGTTTGGAGTTACAACTGTTTATTTAGTCCTTATTCTCACAGGGGGCGGAAGCAGCGCGGGAATGGGGGGTGGGGGGCGGCTGCAAGCAGTGATTTCGAAGCAAACGCTTGGGGGGGGGGGCATGCGACTTTGTTTCAGGGCGCCGAGCTCCCCGGCGCCCGAGTGTGTCACTGCCAGTCTCCGGAGACTGAGGCGGAGCTCACAACAGGTGGGGAGGAGGACTCGCCGAGGGCCAAAAAAGAGTAGGAATCAAAGTTTCCGAGCGCGGCGGGATCTGGGGAGGAGGGGGGCGGGAGGCGGGGGCGCGGGGAGGAGGAGGCTGCGAAAGACCGCGACCCCGCAGCACTAGCAAACTCCGCGACGCCCGACGCGCCGCTACCGAGGTCTCCGCCCGAAGCGCCAGCAGCCCGGCTCGCCGGCTAGGCTGAGGACTCTCAGCGGGACAGGAACGGAGCGCCGCGAGCTCTGGAGGAAGGCAGAGCGCGGGCGAGACCTGAGAGCCATCGGTCGCCAGGACCGGGCCAGGGGGGCGCGTCTCAGGGCTGACTGGGGCTTGGGAAATCCCCCGGTTCCCCAAGCTTAAGAGAGGCGTAAAACCAGAAAGTGTGTGGTGAAGGGGAGGCGGATCGGGGCACGTCGACTCCCCGAAGCGCACTCTGCTCCCACTCCCACCAGCCGAACTGGCCAAGGCAGTCGCGGGGAGACTGGGTTCGCCAGGCGGAGTGTGCGTGGGGGTGCGTGTCGTTGTGGGGCGGGGGGGGGTGAGTTTGCTGAGGGCTATGTTGTCGGGGCTCCGCTGGTTGGCGGAGAAGTGTCCCCGCCGCCTGTTCAGGGTGGTGTGCGTGGCACCGGGGATGTCCCCAGGCTCAGGGCCCACGGCGCCGGCGTCCCCAGTTATTCCGCCGCGGCCCTCAGAGCAGCCAGAGTCGCCGAGGGGACACACATTAGCGGAGAGCGAAGGGAAAAAGTTTGTTTCAAGTCCAAACTTTGGGCTCCAGAGACGCCCGGCGCACGCCCCTTCCCGCCTTGGACCCGACCGGGGACGCCGCGCCCGCCCGGCACCTCCACCGGTGCCCCAATGCTGGACACCGAAAGTTGCGACATGGGCCTGGGTTTATTGATTTCTCGCGCCACAATAATTGTGGAGAACGCAAAGCTAGGCGTGAAGGGGCCGAGAGGAAGGCGATCTCGCCCTCTTCTCGCTGCCGCCTATGCCGCCCCCCCCCCGCCGCCCCATCTGACTTATGCAAATAGACCCAAGAGTGAGGGCGCCGCCGAAGCCTTCTCCACCCCCGCGCCGGCCGCGGCCCCCACCCACCCGAGAGCCTGGGCCCAGACCTAGGGAAGAGAGACTGAGAGGGAGGACTGGGGCAGATGCACGTGGAGCCTGGAGATGGAAAGTAGTTTTTTTTTTTCTTTTTTTTTCCTTTTTTTTTTGGGTGCTGGTTGTTGTTGTTGTTTAAAGTGAAGGAAACAAGGCAGGAGACGGCTTGGGAAAAAGTGGAGCAGAAATGGAAAAATACAAACTCACCCGCTGCAAAAGGTCTCTCGGTGAAAACTAAGGTGTTTTCGGGCCTTTCCCCGCGCGCGCCCACTCCCGCCCGCGCGCGCGCACCCCCGCGCACACACACACTCGCGCACACACACTCGCGCACACACGCGCGCACACACGCACTCCCGGGCGAGGGCCGGGCCTCCGCGAGTACAGCATGCAACCGCCACACAATAAATAACAATAGATTCCTCCGCTCCGGACTAGCTTCCCGGAGCCCAGCCAGCGGCGGCGGCAGAGGCTCTGGCAGCGACGACCCAGGGACACCACCCCCCAACTGGCGTCCCAGCCTTCTGCCAGGGCCCCCCCTCTTCGCCTCAGGCACCCCCAAGGCCATCCAACACCCCCACAGTGCGAGCCACCACGTCCTTCCTCGACCACTCGGGTGCCGGCGCCCACTCCCCTCCCCCCAGTCTCCCGGAACAAATAAATAAATAAGGCGCGCGAGAGCGGCCAACACGTCGCGGAGGGAGATGTTGTTATTTTTTGCTGTTGTGCGTCCCTGACGTCACATCCACCTGCTGGGTAAACAACAAGGCTCGCAGCAAAAAAAAAAAATCGCAATTGCCAAAGCAAAGGGGGGTGGGGGCAGGCTGTGGAGAGGGGCGCCTAGGGAGGTGGGGATGCGGGGCATCTAGGCCGGATGGGGGAGAACCGAGCCCCGCAGACCCAAGAGAGGAAGAAACGCCAGAGCGGTCCCAGGAAAAAGAGATCTGGCCAGAAAGACCGATCTGGAAAATAAGGGGTTTGGGGGATGGGGGATTCCTCAGTAGATGGGGAAAGGGGGCCCCACTCTGACACTAGGGGAAAAAACGAGAGGGAGTGTTAATAACTAAAGACGAAAATGGGCATGCGATGGCTATTCGCTTGGTTTCTGAGCTAAAAATACAGAAGGAATGGGAGAGGATAGAAAAGGATATGAGTTTCCTCCAGTTAAAAGTGAAAGTGTTTTGCCATCAGTGACAGTTGAAGAAGGGGGAGGTGGGGGTGGTGTTTTCAACCCCCTTTCTCCTCTCCCGTCCTCCCTTGGTCTCTCCTCTTTCTTTCTACACTTTGTCCAATGAAAGAAGGCGAGTTCGGGAGGTGAAAGTTCAACAGAAGGACAAACCCCTGTTTGCAAGGAAACAGAAACCCGCCAGAAAGGGTTTTCCCCCCCTGTATCTCTGAATCAGAAGAGTGTGAGTGGAAGGAGCCTTCCCCCCCTTGCCTTGTCAGAGTCACTGCAGGAATGTGTAGTTGGATCCTCTTTGGGGGAAAGTGGCTGCTTCAGGAGCTGTGTTCTAGCCATGGCTTTTTTCTTAGGAAAACGCCCAGGGGCTAGCATGTCAATCAGTTGTTTAACACAAATTACCTGCTCTCCCAGAGATCAGTCACATGCAAAAAGCTTTGTCCAATTCTTTTAAAAGGTGAGTTGTTGTTGTTGTTGTTGTTGTTTTCCTTTTGTTGTTTTGAAGTTTGGTGGAATTTATAAATTTGAAAAAGTAAATTAGAAGCCTGAATGAATGTTTTGAAATACTTATATACATATATAAAACAAAAGACACTGGTCTTTCTTTTGTGTTTTATCAATGCAAATAGAGAGGGAAGCAGATTTTGTTTCCAAAATGTGACTTAAAATGATAGAGGGCTTTCTGGCTTGTTGTTAACAGAAATAATGCTTTTCAGACCCATAACCCCAGATGCTGCCAAACTTCCAAGCTAGCATTTTCAGCTACTGGCTGGATGGTGTACCAGGCCAACTCTTTATGAAAATGCACTGACAGTCACTCCTGTAGATTCCTAAACAGTACTTGGGCTGGGAGCAGGTAACAAGTACTGTCCCTCTGGCTTTGAGACCAGCATAGATGTAGATAATAATGACCCTTAAAAGGTTATGAATTCTCTCAGATAATGTCTTTTTGCAAATATTGTTAAAACATTCATTTGCAGAGGAATTCTAAATCTCACTTTGATAGCATAAGACTGACTTTTAAACTATCTGTTTTGCAGGTAACAAAATAACAACGGCATTTACTTGTGCTACAGAATATAGCCAGAGAAATGAGACTGGACACATAGAACTCAAATTGAATGCATTTTGCACCAGACCCTGTGTTTTCCAAACAACACCATCCATTGGATCTTTTAGAATAGAATCTATATAAAGAAAATGTATTTAGTTCCTGTAGTACTTTCTAACTTCCTAGATGCTAGTGTTTATGATAGTTTTGATTTAAGACATTAACGAGACCCCTACTATGTTCTAGACCATATAAGGGATACAAAAATAAGTAAAATTCCTGCCCTTAGGAGCCCACAGTCTACAGCTATCAGTGATAGCTACTATATATATTGCTTGCTTACTATGTCTTAAGCACAGATGCAATAGCTTTATGTCAACTCTGTTAATTCTCCCAACAACACTGACATCACTGGAAATTCCTTATGCAGAATTCAGTGAAATTAAATAGAAATCTTAAAAAGTAGCCAGTCTAGTGGGAGAAAGGGGAATATTGTTTATCATTTCTCAAGTGTTTAATGCCAGATGCTGAATGCATGTAACATGGTTATATGTGTCAGGTTGCCAAATTTTAACTCAGAGAAATAGCAGTTTACTTAAATGTGATATATGTGCTCATTGTCTGTAAAGAACAATTAATGCTCCAGTCTTGTTTTTAGATAATAAAAAAAAAGATTACTGCTATATCAAAAAGATCTTTACATTGCTGTTAATCTTTTTGGCATTTTAACTCCCTTAAATTCTATATTCACGTGAAAGTGGGGGCCAAAGTCAGATTGGCAACAAGTTTTTCAGACAAAAGGAAATCCTGGTTGTAAATCTCATGATATATTGTACTCAATTTTGTATATAATACTGTCTAATGTGCCGCCTTATTAAAGGGCTCCATGTCCATTTGGCTTACATTAGAGGGACACTTAACTGCAGCTTAACATATTGTTCATTTTCAACACTGTCACGTTACATTCGTAGGGAGCACATTTTAATTTCTTTATCAGTAATCAACTGGAAGTTTCTTTTTGTTAAATTAAAGCTAGGGTTTTAAAATAAAGGGCATGGGGGTAGGACGCCACCTTTTGGTGGTAAAACAAATAGGAATCCCTTTTTAAACAGATGTTCCTGACATAATTTCACTTTTAATTACACCAAGGCAAAGGTGCTTGTCCCCAGTTTGTTATATTTTAAGTGACAGGGAAAAGTCATCATAAATGCAAAATTAACAAACTGTAGTTAACTGTGTCCAGAGTCTCCCCAATGTTACCAGAGAGAGTGCCAGCCAGAATGGCAGTGCCTTCTCACATACTAGTAACCGTAAGTCAGACACCAACTTTGTCCTGCAAGTAATATGTCAGTGAATATATGAACACCTGGGACAAGAAAGTGGACTGGATAGTTAATTACTTTATGAGATGCCTGAATGTCTTTGTAAGTTTAGAGTTGAGAAAAAATTTTAGATTACTTAATTCATTGTTTCTTAAACTACAGCTACCATCTTCCTAATTTTGCCACATTTACACATCATAATAATTCCTGAATAATTAATGCACTGCATTCACTGAAGCATAGTTATTATGGTAATTGTATTAAATATTATCCTTTATATCAACCTACTTTTTATTAATTTTTCTATTACTACTATAAATGGGATATTGACATCATCCTCCATAAATTCAAAACAATCACAGTGAAAACAGAGTCCTTGCTTACCTTGGAAATGTAGAGTGTCAAAAAATGTTAATTACTTTTAAAAGGGAGAGTGGCCAGTGGTGAGAAGTTTTAGTGAGAAGTCTCTCAAAGGAGAATCCTGTTTTCTCTGTGTTTGCTTGAACAACCAGAAGAAGTGAAAGTGATTGCATAGGGAGTAGCATGTGGTTAGATGTTAACTAACACCCTCCCAGTGGCAAGGCTCCTAACTTTCAGCCCCTGCATCCCCAAGTTTATCAAATAGTAAATTAGGAAAGTGAGGCCTGGAGAGGCTAAATTTCCCTTGAAGGCCAAATAACTCTTGGTGGCTGGACACCAGGGGTCCTTCCTGGTGGCACCATGGGTTAAGGTGTACCACTACAAAGCTGGCTGCAGCCACTTCAGCACAAGTTGGATCCCTGGCCAAGGAGGTGCCCATGTCTCACCCACTGCTTCTTTTAACAGTGTACTTCATTGATTTGCCTGTTCTGTTCCCCACCCTGACTCTGGTGGATCCTCTCACCACTCCTGCACCTTTGGCTTGGCCCCCAGCTCTGTATGCATAAATAAATACATCTTTAAAAAAAAAGAATTCACTGGCCCTCCCTGGTGGTGCAGTGGGTTAAAGCACAGCACTAAGAATCAAAAGCTACTTCC